ATAGAAGGTCTTTGCAAAGTTGTTTCCAAAATGTGCAGAGTTCTATGAATATTCTCAAACGGTGATCGAGAAGAAGTGTTGTCTCCCGACCCATCACCGCCTTTTCCTGACCCATCACCACCTTTTCCCGACCCATCACCTTTGTTTCCATTTCCAGGATTATCCGCGTTGTTATTACTGTTCGAATTATTTTGATTACCACCACCATCGCCACTTTCTCCCTGTTGGCCGTTATTTTTCGATCCACTATCAGAGCCCTCCGACGAATTTAAGCTGAGATTTGCTGCGTGCGACTTTGATTTTAAACTGTACAAAGCTTGGGAATAAGTCGAAAGTGAATGTTTATTCCAGTTGAACGTACTCCTTTCGTTATGTAATGGTTGAATCAGAAGCAATATAGGGGATTGTTTAAATACAGGCCTAAGGTTTCCTACCGAAAGTATTTTGGCGTGCCGAAATACTTTCGGTAAATTCATCGTGCCAAAGCGTGAAACCGAAATCCCGAAAGTCAAAAGTCATATAACTCTAAAAAAATCAAAAGTAAACTGAGGCATTAAAATTATTCTTCTGATCTTTCTGATCTTTGCGGTCAAGTTCATCAGTTATGCGCTCTAGTAGATTAGTCATGTCCAAAAAAATTTTGAGATTTTGTGTAATCCGAGCTTCCGGGTAGTGTTTTAAGCCGGCTAAAGTAGCCATGGCTAAGCCGGCTTAGCCGGCTAAGCCAGCTGAAATAAAACTATCGGCTGGCTAATGCAGCTGAGTAGCCATGGCTAAGCCGGCTTAGCCGGCTAAGCCAGCTGTATAAAACTGTCGGCTGGCTGTTGGCTGGCTATTGGCCGGCTGTTGGCTGGCTAATGCGGCTAAAAGTTCACTAATCACATGTATATATCAACTAATTCTCGTGACAGACAGAATATGATAAGATGACAAGCCACCAAAAAAAAATTTTTTTAGGCGTATTTTTTAGGGATAGAGTTTGGTTTTAAAGTTTATATTAAACAACAAGTATAAGTACAGAAGTAGGTTAAATAGAAACCCGGTCCGTTTGAATCTTAACGGATACTTGGCTATTTTTTATTGCTTGCCTTAATTCGTCTAACGGATCGGGTTTCTATTTAACCTACTTCTGTACTTATGCTTGCTGTTTAATATAAACTTCAAAACCAAACTCTATCCTTAACCCCTAACCCTAAAAAATGCGCCCAAAAAAAAATTTATTTTTTGGTGGCTTGTCTTTTTTTTATTTTACAAATTTGTTGCAGCAAAATCGACAGATACTTTGAAA